TTGAAGTTTGCTTATAGAGCCTTCCATACTTAAAAATCTATGCAGTGTTATCCACTCAGACTTCTCTCTCTCTCTCTCTCTCTCTCTCTCTCTCTCTCTTTCTTCTTCTTCTTCTTCTTCTTCTTCTTTTTTGGTACTGGGCACTTTATCACTGAATTACATCCCCCATCCTTTTTATTTTTTTTTTATTTTGAGGCAGGGTCTCACTAAGTTATTGAGAGTCTTGCTAAATTGCTGAGGCTGACCTTGAATTTGCAATCCTCCTGCCTCAGCCAGCACTGAAGCACCTATAATCACTGGGATTATAGGTGTTTACCACCACTCCCAGCATGAGACTTCTCATTGTGGTTGAGAAGTACCAATCTTCCAAACTTTAACTCAGAGCTATGTCACTTCCATGCTTGAGAATAAGCCTACCGTCATTGATATTGCAGTATTATTAGAATGAGAGCACATGGAAGAACTACCATTTTGGAAGGAAGTCATCTCTATTTTGATAGGAGAGACTTTGCATTTTCTCTTTTACATCAAAACTTGTGTTTTAGATGTGGTCAAAGGTGAAAAGGTCAAGCCAATATTTGAGGAACCACCCAATCCCACAAATGTGGAAGTCAGTCTGCAACAGATGAAAGCCAATGATCCCAGCCTACAAGAAGTCAACCTCAACAACATCAAGGTATTTCATTATCATTGTCATCAGCCACCTGATTTATCATGAGGTCAGAAAACTTATTGGAGATGACCGGTGGCCTGCTTTTAATACCCATTTACTGGCCTTTGTTGATTTTGAGGCAAGATATCCTATGCAAAAAAAGTGGATTTTTAAAAAAAGCAATTTCTAGAATTATTTGAAAAGAATCATAGTACTCAGTTAAACATAGTGCATTAGTTATATCTATTGCTGAATAACAAATTACTCTGAAACTCAAAGGCTTCAAACAACAAACATTTATTATTTCATACAGTTGTGTTTTCCCCCCAGTTCTGGGAATCAAACTCATGGTAGGCAAGTTCTACAGCACTGAGCTACATCTCAAGCTCCTATCTCACACAGACATGAGGTCAAAAATGTGAGAATGACACAGAAGAGTAGTTGACTCAGGGTTTGAACTGAGGCTATAGTGAAACTCTTAGCCAGACTCCAGTCTGAAGGCCTGATGATACAGAAGGATCCATTTCCAAGATAGCACACCCATGTGTTTTTTCCAGGAGGCCTCAATATCCTCATTAGGGCTGCCTGAGTGTCCTCACACCATGACTGCTGGCTTCCCCCAAAAAAGTGATTCAAGAATGAAAGCGCAAAGAGAAAGCCCTAATACCTTTTACAATCTGGTCTCTGAAGTCACAGATTGTCACTCCCACTTTATTCGATTTGGCAAAAAGTTATTCTGCTCTCAAAGGGAGGGGAAGGGATGTTATGTATCTAAACATTGCTTAAGATATTTGACCAATTCCTGGCATTTAATAATAACAACACCTTTATTGAGTATTCACTACATGCCATATATCTTGCTAAATACTTGAAATTTATTATGTCATTTAATCCTCAGTGAGACTTAATGAGCTTAAGTTGATAAGGTCGCACATCTACAGTGCAGCCAGGACTTGTTCACTGCTAGCTACACCTCATATCACCTCTCTCCCCACTAGTCAGTACTGTGCTAAGTACTGTATGAAAGAGTACAAAGATGAGTAAGATTTAGTCTTTACTTTGAAAAACTTATATTAATAGAAAGACATGAAACAATTAAAACATGATGTGTTAAGCCCCCAATGTGTGGAATTGTAAGGGAGGAAAATTTTAATGCTGCCTAGGAAAGCCAATAAACAAAATAGGAGGTATTTCAGCTGGATTTTAAAAGATGGGTAGGATTTAATCAGAGAAAAAGACAAAAGGAATTTTCTGGCAAAAGGAAACCACATCTAAAGATATGGAGGAGAGACAGACCATGATATATTAAAAGATTGGCAAATAGGGCCATCTGCCTAAGAAATAATGACCAAGCATGGTATGTGTATAATTCCTTGGTTAGAGAAAAGAGAATGCCAGAATGCACTAGATTCCCTTGTTGGACTCTTAAGTGGTACTATGGGCTCAGGATAGCTGGTTGCCTAAGAATGGGACATGAACCCCTTTTCAAGGGGTTATCACGTTATCTAGCTATCTAAACATACATGGTATTTAAAATAATAATAATGACAATTTAAGAAACATAAGTGGTATTTACAAGTTGTACGGGGTGCTAGTTCAGAGATAGAATATGTCCTTAGCACAAGGCCCTGATTCAATCTCTGCACCAAAACAAAAAAGAAGTTGTAGGACTTTAACTTGAGGGTAGTGTGTTGTAGAATGGTTTATCAATCAGCTAGCAATGTCTTCTCTGTTTTAGAACATTCCGATTCCAACCTTGAAGGAATTTGCAAAGGCTCTGGAGACCAACACTCATGTAAAGAAGTTCAGCCTGGCTGCAACCCGCAGCAATGACCCTGTGGCCATTGTGAGTAAAATTCTTAGAAATATAACATGAATTTTTAATTCACTTGAAACTTTTAAATTGTTTTTTAATTAATAAACAATTTTTAGATATGGTAAATTTAAATTGCGCATAGTTAGTAAGTGGAATTAAAGTTAAATGAGGGTAAAACTTCACAATCCAACCGTGAAGCAGTTTGAATTAACATTAAAATCTCGTTGGTTTTACTCAAGAAACAAAGTAAGTTTGGCATTTAGCTAAATAAATTTTTAGGGTTTGTTCTGTACTTAGTACAAATTTTCTGAAACTTTTTCTTCCATATTAACTTTTTGTTGAAGCCTTTGGATCCTGCCCCAAACTCCTGCAGGAACTTGGCACATATAAAAAAATGTTAAAGTGTATTTCATTTTAATTTTTTAAATGGATTAACATGTTACCAAAATATTTTAAACAACCAAATGCAGAGACACACTTTTTTTACATTCTGTTGACAAAAATATGAAAAAAAAAAACAATCAAAATCCCTATTCCTTCTATGCATTTTAGGTACTTCAGAAGTCCCTTAACTCAAGTAAATACTACTAGTTATCATTGTTATTCTTCCTGTAGTACTTCTCTAGAACGTAGTTTCTTCAAATATTTGAGGTTTGCTGGTAGGATCAGGTGAATTCATATTTATCCAGAAGCAGGTAACACCACACAATTGTGAAGAATAATTCTGTTCTTAAGGTGTTAAGAGAAACCTTCTGTGGTCACATCTAGCTGGTCCCAGATGATTCATCTTACAGTTATGCCCTTGTCAGGGAAGAACTTTTCTGTAGGTTGAAAATTGGTTCGTTACCCCCACAGGGAACAGAGATCTTCAAATTATTATGACTGAACCCTGAAGCCAAGAGCTTCAAGAGACTCTTCTAACCGGGCAGTGGCTCCCAGTGGCTCAAGAGGTTGAGGAAAGAAGATCACAAGTTTGAGGCCAGTTAGCAATTTAGGGAGACCCTATCTCAAAATAAAAAAAAAAAAAATTGAAAGGGCTGGTGATGTAGCTCAATATTAAGTGTCCCTAGGTTCAATCCCCAGTACCCATAAATAAATAGGTAGTAAAATAAGAGAAAATTTTTAAAAAGACTTTTCTATTTAAGTCTCAACTATAGATTCAACAAGGCACTTTTAGGATTGTTGTTAATATAGACCAGCTATGTGTATGAGAAATGACATTAGTTCCCTTTTACAGGTGAGGCAACTAAGGCTCACAAAAAGTTGAGTAATTTAAGATTATACAGTATGTGGTCAACCCAGGATGTAAATGTAAGTCACCTGTAATCAAGTTCAATTCACCATGGCCCAAATACTTCCATATAGCCCTATTGATAGCATTATAGGGATATGAATAGAATTTGCCCTTGTTAGATTTCAACAAAAAGAGAAGACCCAAATATGTGTAAAATGTTGGTATTATTGGGGCCTGGGATTGTGGCTCAGAGGTAGAGTGCTCGCCTAGCATATGTGAGGCACTGGGTTTGATCCTCAGCACCACATAAAAGTAAAATATTGTGTCCACCTATAATTAAAAATATATAAATAGGTTAAATTAATTCTGATATTTTACTTAAAATCTAATTTTGAATATGTTCTATTTTATTGTATTTTAGGGTTTTTTTCCCTAAGGTACTTTATCTTTGTATTATGTACTTTGTTTTTCCACATTTTTATTAGTACATTATAGTTGTACATAATGGTGGGATTTGTTGTTTCATATTCATACATGCACACAATATAACTATAATTTGGCCAATTATCACTCCCCAGCACTTCCCCTTTCCCTCCCACCTCCCACTCCTTGATGCCTCTCCTATACTGATCTTCCTTTGATTTTCATGATTTTTTTGGTCCCCTCTCCCCACCTTCTTTTCCTTTTTCCTCTCTAGCTGTCAAATATGAGAAAAAAACATCCAACTCTTGACCTTATGTGTTTGCCTTATTTCACTTACCATAATGTTCTCAAGTTTTATCCATTTTTATGCAAGTGATATAATTTCATTTTTCTTTATGGCTGAATAAAATTTCTTTGTGTATATAGACCACATTTCCCTTATTCATTCATTCATTATGGACACCTGGGTAGGTTCCAGACTTTGACTATTGTGAATTATGCTGCTATAAACATTGGTATGCATGTATCACTATAGTACAATGACTTTAATTCCTTAGGACAAATACCAAGGAGTGGTCTAACTGAGTCATATGGTGGTTATAGGATTAGCCCATTTTTAAGAACTCAATAGCTACATGTTTCTCATGGCTACCATTTGGGCAACTTAGAAAATTGGATTTTGATACAATCCTGTAAAGTACAAAAAACAAAACCTTTTCTTTAAAAATGCATTTCTACTTAAATTATTTATGTATCATTTAAGAAATCTGGTCTTTGTTTTACTAACATTATTATTCCTAGAACATGTAATTGATTCTCAAATATTTGCTGAACTAAAGTGAACTTGGGCCTACAGCCCAGGATTGTTTGGCTGGGTCTCCTCTATTTTATTCAGTATGAGAAAAGTGTTTTCTGAAGTTTAAAAGAAATCGGCAAGATTCTGGCTGCTTGCCATGAGGTCCTGCAACTTTTTGTAAAGGATTAATTGCTCGGACATTTTGTTATTCTAAAGCGGAAAGTAAATCCCAAAGCTTGAGTGTCCAAAAGGAAAGGCTTGATATATTCCCCTCTGGTGTTCTGATTAAAATGTGTACATTTAATTTCAATTAAAAGTTGAGTACTGAGTAAAGATTCTTAAAGTCACATAGTGTACCATACTGTCAGTCCAAATCCTGGAGATTTCTTTGCAGTTCAAGCAATTGTCTAATACACGATTATTCTTCTACTCCAGTGGTTCTCGACCCAAGAGTTCTTTTGCCCTCCAGGGGACACTTGGCAATGTCTGGAGATTTTGGTTTCATGACTGGGAGGAGTGCTATTTTGGAATTTAATGGATCGCAGGCTAGAGATACTCCTAAACATCTTGCAGGACACAGGCTCACCTCCCACAACAAAGAGTTCTCCACCCCCAAATGTCAGTCATGCCAAGGATGAGAAACCCTTTTCAACTTCCATGGTGAATTCCTTCTCCCCCTCCTTCTTCTCATCTTTTCTGCAATAAAAACAATTAAAATAGTTTAGAACTTCATTGTTCTACTCCCTAGAAGCAATCCCCTTAGCAATTTTTCATTCTTCTAGTTGTTGTCTTTATAACTTTAAAGTGGTTGTTAATCCTGTCTGCACATGATTCACTTTAAAGCTCCCAGATCATTCTAACATACAGTCAAGGTGGAAAGCCAGTAGTATGCAGAAATTTATATTTTTACTCATCATCTTAGGTAATATTTTTATTATTGTAAAAGGTGAGGGCAATCTGTACTCACTCTTGTTTTCTTTTTTTTTTAATTTTTAAAAAATGTTTTCACTCTTGTTTTCCATCCTTTCCTTCCTCTTGTACCTCCAAACTGTAGCTCTTCCCATTATTTTCACACATTTGAGCCTTATAAAATTTTATCCATCTATATATATATAGAGACACACAAGTTTTTATATAGGTAGATTCCAAAAATTAAAAACCTCCTAGCACTTCCAGTTATATGACTTTGTAAATATAAATCTCTGTTCCCACAGGCCTTGTGTTCATTCTTCTGAGCATCTAGTGATTTCTTTCGGAAAGAGATTCATGACTTTCTTCAGCTCTGGGGAAATTTTTCCATTAATTATTTGACAATTTTTTCCTTTCTATAGTAGTCTTCTTTTTTTTTTTTAACCTTTTAGAACTCCTCTTAGGTGAATGTGAAACCTCTGGCATCTTCCCTTCATATCTCTTAACATTTTATTCATATTTTCTTTCTTTGTATTTTTATTCTGCATTCTTAAAAATATTAACTTTGTCTTCTAGCTTACCAACTTGGTCTTCATCCATGCTAATTTTTTAAAATTCCGGGTATCTATTACTTCCTTTTACTTCAATATGGTATTTTTTATTTTCAAAATACATTCTCATTCCTCTTTTTTTTTTTAACAATGTAATAGCCAATACCTATTTTATGTAGGCAATGCCTTTTCTTTTCCCAGTGGGGAGGAGGAAGGGAGAAGTGGATAGTAATAATTTAAAATTTTACATTGAGTTTTCTTCATGCTATGGTGGGTTATCCTGTTCATTCAATTGGCTTTTCTCTTTCATGATGTTGACTTTCCCATCATATCTGGCAATTATTGATTGCCCAATCATATTTGGGAATATAGAACAAGGTTGGTTTATATAAAGTGGGATTATTTTTTCTGCAGTTGAGTAGATCTATTCCACGAATAAACTCTTCCCCTAAAAGGGAGCCCTCTTTTTTTTTCCATCTGTCTCACCATCTTTCATGCTATTTATTTTATTTATTAACTTATTGATCTTCCTGCTCAATGATAAGCTCCCTGAGGACATATATTTTTGTCTTCTCTACTGCTGGAGGGAGCAACACAGTAGAAACCTGACAGATGAGTGAATGAATGAATGAATGAATGAATGAGTGAGTGCTTTTTTTCAGCAGATAGGTGAATTGGCTGGAAACCTTCTCCTAGTGTGTTATACAGCCTGGGAGGCCCCTGTAATTGTTAGTTAAGAGAACTGCATTCTGGGAGAGGTACATTCAGTGCCTTTCATTCCTGACATAGCTACCTTGCCACTGCTTCCTATACTGCATCTGGTATGAAGATATCTGGTCTGGAGATACCTCAGTTTCTGTCTCACTTTTGTTCTTGTATATGTATATACATATATATATATATATATACACACACAAATACACATATATTATATAGTTAGTTGTAAATACATATATATTTTATAGTTAGTAAGTTAGTTGTAGATGGACATAATAACTTACTTTATTTATTTTTATGTGGTGTTGAGGATGGAACCCAGTGCCCCACAGGTGCCTAGGCAAGCATTCTATGGCTGAGCTGCAATCCCAGACCTCTGTCTTGCTTTTGTCCCAGGTCATGACTCTTTTCAGGAGATTTGCCATTGGCAGTCATGCTGGCAGCTGCTCTTCTTCAGGGAAGCCACAGGGAGGGCGGTGTGCTTTCCATCTGCTCCAGCTTTTCCATCTGTTCTGAAGGCAGTTCTTTAATGAAACACTCCAAATGAGGCTTACCTCTGGGATCTCAGGCACCAATATATAATATATCATAAAGACAAAGCTGATTCTATTATTATTTTTTATGCTATTTTCTCCATCAATTTTTCTATTTTCTGTATTTTAGCGATTCTTCAAGATAATGGCCATTTTGGGGCTGAGGTTGTGGCTCAGAGGTAGAGCGCTCGCCTCGCACATGAGAGACCCTGGGTTCCATCCTCAGCACCACATACAAATAAAAAAACAAAATAAAGATATTGTATCAATGTAAAACTAAAAAAAATATATTTTTAAAAAAAGGTAATGGCCATTTAAAATTTTTATTGATGCATGATGATTTTGTATATTTATGAAATAAATGTGACATATTTATACATATGTACAATATGTAATGAGCAAATCAAGGTAATCAGCAATCTGCAACCTCAAACATTTATCATTTCCTTATGTTAGGAATATTTAAAGTCTATTAATCATTTTATTTTATTTGGTACTGGAGATTGAACCCGGGGCACTTTACCACTGAGCTACATTGTTAGTCCTTTTTTTTGAGACAGAGTCTCTCAAAGTTACTGAGGCTGGCCTCAAACTTGCAATCCTCCTGCCTTGGACTCCCCAGTAGTTGGGATTAGAGGCATGCACCACTACTCCTGGCTCTTCTTTTTTTATTTTTATTTACTTATTTGGTACCAGGGATTGAACCCAGGGACACTCCACCACTGTGCTATATCCCCAGCCCCATTTTGTGTTTTATTTAGAAACTGGGTCGCACTGAGTTGCTTAGTGCCCTGCTTTTGCTGAGGCTGGCTTTGACCTCATGATTGATCCTCAGCATCCTGCCTCAGCATCCCGAGCTGCTGGGATTCTGTACAGCCACAGCACCTGGCTTCTAACTATTTTTAAATATACAATAAATTATTAGCTATAGTTATTACCCTTCTGTGACAGAACATTGAAACTCACTTCTTCCTTCTAACTATAATTTTGTTCATGATAAACAACCTCTCTCCATCTTCCACCCTCTGGCAACCATTATTCTATTCTCTACATCATGAGATTAACTTTTTTAGCTTTCAAATATGAGTGAGGACTTCAGGCATTTGTCTTTCTGTGCTAGCTTGTTTCACTTAACATAATCTCCTTGAAGCTCATTTATGTTGCTAAAAATGATAGGGATTTATTCTTATTTATGGATAAATAATATTCTATTATATATATATACACACATTTTCTGTATTCATTCATGCATTGATGGATTCTTAGGTTGTTTCCATATCTTGGCTATTGGGAGTAGTGCAGCAATAGATCTGCAATAGACAGTGCTGCTAGCTCTTCAACATACTTACTCCCTTTCCTTTGAGTATATACCCAGGAGTGGGACAGAGACTTTTAGATAATGCTTCAAAGTACAGGCAACAAAACCAAAAATAGACAATAGGATTACATCAAACCAAAAACTTCTGTACAGCAAAGGAAACAGTCAACAGAGTAAAAGTCACCCTACAGAATGAGAGAACATATTTACAAATTATTTATCTGACAAGGAATTAATGTCCAGAATATAAGAAACTCAAACTCAACAGCCAAAAAATAATCAACTTTAAAAACAGACAAATGTGAATACACATTTCTCAAAAGAAGACATCCACATAGTCTCGACTGTGGACTCAACTATTTTCATTGCTGTTTTAAATTAGTATCTTTTTACTTGAGGGTGAAAGTATGACTTAGTTAAGGTTTTCTTTAAGTGCTACAAAAATATCTGCACTTTGTGGTGAGGTGTTCAGTGCCTCAATCTTGAGAGACCCTAATGGTTATTTGTTTTTGCATAATAAGGCCTTCGCAGATATGCTGAAAGTAAACAAGACCTTGAAAAGTCTAAACATAGAATCCAATTTTATCACTGGAACTGGGATCCTGGCCCTGGTGGAGGCTCTGAGAGAAAATGACACCTTGACAGAGATCAAAATCGACAACCAGGTAATGCAAGGCGGGCAGAGTTAACTCAGGTGCAGAGTGAGAGGAGAGAGTGAGTTAAAAAGACAAATTTTCTATGGGACTCAGTTGGTGTTCTGGCTTTCCTGGAAGTTTTATCAGCTTTAGGCTCATAAAGGGTGTGTGGCAGAATGTTACTAATTAAACATTGCACAGTGAAGCAGCCTGAGACATGGCATTCTCCTGCCCTGGCTAGGCAGGCAGCAGAGGAGAAAGCCAGGTGGTAGTGGCAGGGGTGTTGACAGCTACTTTGTTCAGCCATCTCATTGTCATCTTTTTTTTTTTTTTTTTTTGGTGCCAAGGATTGAACCCAGGGGTGCTTAATCACTGAGCCACATCCCCAGCCATTTTTATTTTTCATTTGGAGACAGGGTTTCATTGATTTACCTAGGGCATCTCTAAATTGCTAAGGCTAGCTTTGAACTCACAATTCTCCCACTTCACCCTCTGAGTCACTGGGATTACAGGCGTGTACCCCCACACCTGGCTTTTAATATGGACCTCAGCCCAGTGCTGTCCCGGCATTGCTTTTGCTTCTCACTGGAACTATGGCTAGAAGGAGAATGCAGGGTGACCTCTTGTCCTTGGCTAGAGGCTGCCAGAGTTGAAAGAGCAGACCTGAGCTCCCTCAGTCTGGTGCTGGATTTAGATAGAGCCTGTTTAAAGGAATCAGGATTCTAAAAGATGGTCTGGCTTAATATAGCAGGCCTGGCCTACAGCATGATCACAGTCTCAACTCTGCCATGCTATTTCTCAGGGTCCCCAAATCAGCCAGAGCAAACTGCTTTTCCTTGGAGCCACCACTGCCTGGACCTTGGAGACCTTTTCCTGGGCATCAGCCTACAGGCCTTTAAGTTGGCTCTGCTGGCTCAGCTTACTCTTGCCTGCAGGTAGCAACCCTCAGCTCTCAGGCTTGATGCTGTGCCCTGGTCCTTTGGCCAAAGGGAAGTATCTGCGATGGGGATTCAGTGAATCTGAGTGATCACCCAAGACTATATTGCCTAAGACTGGAGACCCCTGTCAGTTCCCATGAAAGCTTTACTCTCTGTCTTTGCTAACTGGGTCAAGCACGTTGTTTCAATGCAGACCCTCTGACTCTGGATTCCTCCTGAGGCCTATTGCCAGGGGATCAGGGCAATCACCAAGAGATAGCAGCTTCTTGGCTCCTGCCCTCCTAGAAGGGATGCCCCACCAAAACCACTCTCCTAAACGCAGAAGTGTGGCTTGAGAGCATCCTGGAAATGTGCCACACATGGCCCCACACACCCAAAGGAAGCTCAGTGCTGTGTATCCTCATGTGTGTCCAGCTGCTAATAAATTAAGAAAAAGCATCCAGAACTGGGAAACTACAGAAACAGAAATGTGGAGTGAGTGAAAAGAAGTGATAACTCAGGGATATTTGTAGAATAGACTCATATCAGGAAGAAGTAGGCTCTTAGGAAGTATTTCCACAGGATGTAACACAGAGATAGATACCTTGTTCCAAAGTATATTTAACTTTCTGTCCTGGTTTAGGACACTGTGAAACCCTATATCTGTAATAATGTTATACTCTGTTCCTAGTTTCTGGCATGATACCACCTAGTTAAGGTTACTACATAAAATACAATTCAATTTGACTTTCAGGTACATAATATATAATTTCTAGTAAAAGGATTATCCAGGAAATATTTGAGACATCTTTCTAATAAAATGTTATTCATTATCTGAAAATCATATTTAGCCATTGTCTTGTATTTTCATTTGCTAAATCTCGAAATACTACCCCTAGTGGATGAGCTGGAATCCTGAAAATTTGAAGGGTTTTTCTGATGCTTAAGAAGACCCTGACACTAGGCATAGTAACCCACAACTATAATCTCAGCTGCTTGGAAGTCTGAGGAAGAAGGATTACAAATTGGAGGCCAGCTGGGCAATTTTGGAAGACCCTGCCTCAAAATAAAAAATTGTAACAGGGGTAGAGATATAATTCAGTGATAGAGCACTTGCCTAGCATATAAAAGGCTCCATGGGCTGGGGATGTGGCTCAAGCGTTCGATCCTCAACACCACATACAAACAAAGATGTTGTGTCCGCCGAAAACTAAAAAAAATAAACAAATAAATATTAAAAAATTTCTTTCTCTCTCTCTTAAAAAAAAAAAAAAAAGGCTCCAGGTTCAGTCCCTAGAACCTTCAAGGTGGAGGTTGAGGGGAGAAGAAGACCTTGAAATATGAATTCTGAACCTTGTCTCTTAATTCCCTCTAACTCAGCCTCATTACCTCTCCCCAGCCATCCAAGAATGTGTTTGAGCAATTCTTCATCTTTAGCCCTCCATTGTGCTTCTGAAATGTTTCCCCTCTCTCCCTTCTCTTCACTCATCTCCCTCTATCTACCTCTCTGTTTCTTATCCTAGGTACTAGGGATTGAATCCAGCAGCACTTTACCATTGAGCTTTTCCCCCAGCCCTTTTTATTTTGAGATAGATCTGGCTAAGTTGTTAAGGTTGGCCTTGAACTTGCAATCCTCCTGCTTCAGCCTCTAATGCCTGGTTTAAATGGCTTCTTTTTATGTTTGTGACAAGAAGGAGAATTAAGATTTCCTCGAGGAACTGGAAAAATTATTTGCTTTACTAGAAGAATAAGGAAATTTAGAGTCAAAACTTGTCTAAATTTTGTTCATTGACTCATGGACTTTTTAGAAATAACCTCAGTTTCTTCCTAATGAAGGATATGAAATAAGTTTTTGGATTTGAAATAAAATTTCTAAGGGCTGGAACTGTAGCTCAGTGGCAGAACACTTGCCTAGCTTTTGTGAGGCACTGAGTTCGATTCTTAGCACCACATAAAAATAAACAAGTAAAATAAAGACATTCTGTCCATCTACAACTACAAAAAAATTTTTAAATAATAATGTCTCAGTTTCCTAAGGAGAACTAGCAGCTGAGATCAATTTAGCATCACAGCAAAAGGCAGCTGCACAAAAATGAGGCCTGCTGAGAACCCTCCTCTGGGGAGGGCTGCTGTGGCTAGGCTCCAGGTAAATACATAATCATCTAGTCATGTGCTCCCACTGAGAAGAACAAACAGTGGTGCATATTGAAGAAACAGATGGGTAATAGCTAAAAAAGTATTTTGAAAACATGTATGCACAAACTTTCATTTTTTTTCTTTGTATTTAGTGATAAACTATGAAAAGAAAAATATCCATGTTTTAAGAAATTTTGATGTCCATTTTCTGTTCTGGGATAATGTAACACAAAAGACTTCAAATTAAGTACTGGGTAAGGTAGTACATGCCTATAGTTCCAGTGAGGCAGGCATTAATCCTTGATAGAATCCTATCCTCTAACCTGTGTTATGAGCTGAAGTTCTCCTGAAACTTAGAGGTCAGTGTTTGTCTGTCTCTCTCTCTCTTTTTCTCTCTCTCTCTTTTTTTTTTTTTTTTTCTTACTGGGGATTGATACCAGTCTTGAGGATTAACAGTTTGGGGCTGGCCTTGGCAACTTGATGAGACCCTGCCTCAAAATAAATTAAAAAATAAATAAATAAAAAGAGTTTAGGGTGTAGCTTAGTGGTGGAACAACCCTAGGTTCACTCCCCAATACCCTCCAAAATTTGTCTGGACTCAGAAGTTCTCCCATTAACTTTTCTCCTTCATCTAATTCATACTTACATCTCCCAAATTTAAAAGGTATATATTTTTTAAATATATTATAATGGCAAAGCATTAGAATAGATTCCAGAAATTGAGTACAACTGAAATTTTTGCAGTCATGTGTCAGTATTTCAAATCAGGGAAGAATGAAGAAAAAGATAGAAGCACCCGCTGGAACAAAATAAAGTTGGGTCTCTTCAATCTTATACCAAAATTAATTTAGAATGAAATAAATATTAAAATATATGAAATCATAAAACAAATAGAAGAAATTAGGAGGAATAGAGAGAATGTGACAAAATCTGGAGGCTGATAAATTCAATCGTGAAAATAGAAAAAAGGTTTTATAGTAATCAAAAGGAAAATCGAAAGACAAACCAAATAACCAAATAATGTGTTTCCAGTACATTTGAAAAAGGACTAATTTCCTAATAAATGAGAAACTTTAAAAAAAAGTCGGCAGCAAAATGGCAAGTGACTTATATGGGTAGTTCCTCCAAAAAGAGAAATACAAATGCATAAGAAAATGATTGTTCTTATTCATAATTCAAGAAATGTAAATTAAAGTTGAGAAATGCAAGTAAGCTGGATATGGTGGCACACACCTGTAATCCCAGTCACTTCAGTGATTGGGAGGCTGAGGCAGGAGGATCACAAGTTCAAAGCCAGCCTCAGCAATTTAATGAGGTCCTAAGCAACTTAGCAAGACCCTGTCTGAAAATATAAAGGTATGAAGATGTAGCTCAGTGGTAAAGTGCCCCTGGGTTCAAGCCCTCATACCAAAAAAAAAGGGGGGGGGGCAAGTTAAGTATAATTTTTCACCAAATTGGTCAAGGTTTTTAAAAATGGATAATTTGGCTAAGAGAGGAAAACCAGTAACTTTCATGTACTGTTGGCAGAAATAAAAATTATCATAACCTTTGAGGATAATTCAGTAATATATCAGAATTTGAAATATGCTTACCCTTGGACCCAGCTATAACTTGCCCTACAGACAGAGTTGCAGAAATACCTCCAGATATACTGTGTGCACAGGGAAGTTCACAGCAGTGTTGCTTATAACAGTGGGAGTGGAAGGCACGATGACCTTCAGTCAGTGGGGGCCTGGCTAGCTCATTGACCCATCCCTACAGTGGAATGCTATGCAGCTCTCTTTATAAGGGTGAGGTAAATGTTTATTTACCAACATGAAAAGATTAATGTTGAATGGAAAATAAACACATGTTTCAGAAACATAAACTACCCTAATTGACTTATGTGGAAAAAAAAGCATGGATGTACCTGTGTGTGGATATATAAATGCACAGAATATGTTGAGAAGACTACATGTGGGGAAGGAGCCAGTTACGGAAAGTGGTTTTCATATACTTCTTGTTTGCTTTTTCTGAACAAACCTGTACTTTTAATTTTTAAAAAAAGTTTATTGATTATATTGTGAAAAAATATATGCTATATTCCTTAAATTTAATTTTTAATTTCTATATCCACATGCTCCAATTAAAAAAAAAACCTTCTGTGCTTTTTCAATATTCTATGTCTCCACTTAAAAACAAACAAAGAAATACCCCTCTTGCTAACAAGTTTTCTTGGAGATTTTTCTGTAGCCCAGTAACTTGAGTGTTTGATAATTCATCTGATCCTGCTCAGTAAAGCCCCTTTGGGATCTCCAACTGAAACTTTTGAGAGAATGGCAGATTGGTTGTTGATCTTTAATGATTTTGGGATATGGATCCTAGAATAGAAAATACAGCAATTGAATTGATTGCTGTAAGACAGTTTTACAAAGAAGAAGAAAAAACAGTGGTCAGATATAATTCCAGTTGCTCAAGAGGCTGATGCAGAAGGATCACAAGGTCAAGGCCAGACTGGTCAACTTAGCAAGACCCTGTCTCGAAACAAAATACAGTTGTATCTCAGTGCTATAGTGCTTACCTAGCGTTCACAGGCCCACGTAATAGAAAAAAAAAAAAAAAAAAAAAGTTTAAATTCTTTTGATACTGGGATGACTTAGAAGCCTCAAATATTAGTTTTACTTTAACTGTACCTCTTGAATCACCTGTTTCTTCATAAATGGTTGTTTAATTTTTTTTTTTCACCTTAGGACACCAGCAGATTCATCTGTCTGGATTTTTCTTCTAGTCAAGGAGCAGGACTCAAATGACTATATGGGAGGACACATCTCCAATAACACTGTCCCTTTTGAATTTGAGACTTTGGTTTCTTAGAATTTTTGTTCAAGTAGCCACATATCTTTCCTGTGCATTAACAACTTCCTTTTCCTTTTTGGTCATCCTATATGTGTGTGTGTGTATGTACCTGCAACCAGAGGCAGCAGTTGGGAACAGCTGTAGAGATGGAAATTGCCCAGATGCTGGAAGAAAATTCAAGGATCCTCAAGTTTGGATACCAGTTTACCAAGCAAGGGCCACGGACAAGAGTGGCAGCTGCCATCACAAAGAATAATGACCTGGGTAATGCAGCCGTGATATGCACTGGTGACAGTAGGAAGATCCTGCTGAACATTCACTTTTCCACCTCTGATGCCCCCTGTCACAGATACCATCCCATTGGCCTTGGTGTCACTTATTTCTTCACCCAAGGCACATGGTTACATGGTCTTAGACGTCCTCGTGGCCCCTGGAGTGTTAAAGTGTCAACATAGCATTCTTTCAAAAAGAGCTGTTTGTTCTCTTTTCCAAACTGACTTTGACTCTTGCTTCATTTCCTTTGTTTCTATGCCTTTCCTTTAATTTCTTCTTTTTTACTTTTTTTTTCTTTTTCCTTTACCTACTTCTCACTTATGGATTAAGCTCTGTTATCTGTATCCAAAAATCGACACAAGGACATAGAAGTTCTCACTACTTATGATTGACTTCTCACTACTTATAATTATTCTCTCTTCACATATTTATATGTGATATAGGTATATCTGATATTTCAGTACTTTACATGCGAAATAAACTAATGGAGGTAATTATGACAGTTAAACTCGGAAGTAGCTTTTTCAGTTAGCTTGTCTTTAATTTTGTTGAAGATGCATAACATTTCTTCTGTTAGGAAGAGGTGAGGCATGTCCTGGTTAAATACAGCACAGAAGCCTGATGTACAGTAGCACACACCTGTAATCCTAGTGGCTCAGGAGTTTGAGGCAGGAGGATCACAAGTTCAAAGCCAGCCTCAGCAACTTAGCAAGGCTGCAGCAACTCAGCAAGACCCTGTCTCTAAATAAAATATAAATAAGGGCTGGGAATGTGGCTCAGTGGTTAATTACCTCTGTATTCAAACCCTGATACCAAAAAAAAAAAAAAAAAATAAAAAAAAAACCCAGCACAGAAGAATGGAACAGATTGGGAAGGTATAGTATGGGGACAACCTAGCCACCTGGAGCAACATGGAAAAAGAACATCTAGGAGCAGACAGTCCACTTGGCAAGCAATGAGTCAGCTGACAATAGGTTTCAGTCCCCAGTTTAAGGTTCAGGAACAGTATGCAAGACCTTGGACAGAGGAACTGGGCAAGGTGTTCCTCCAAATGTAGTTTTTCTGGTCCTAAAGAGGATTCGGATTGTGGGGAAGATAGAAGCTAAAGGTTAAAATAGGAAGGGTCAAGTAAAACTTAGTGTCCAGGTGCCTGCCCATGCTTAGCCAAGACCCTGCAACGCAGCCAAGGTATATGGTATCAAGAGGCAGGTCGCATATAGGGCCATGCTTACCTGTGGGATTCACAGGGTAAGACTAACAGGCAGCCCAGCAAGGGGCTTTGAAAAAGAGTAGAGGCAGCACTCCAAAGGTGTCTAGGAAAGCACATTGGGTCCACATCTGAACAACATAGTAACCACAGAAAAACAGGTAAAACACGGTGTTAAGTAAATGGAGAGGTGATCCTGAATCCAAGAGTAGTTACTTAGATGAGGTTTAGAAATGGGATTACTGTTTGCAAAAACCTGGTCTTCAAGCCACAGTCACAATTCATGGACTGTGATTGCATTAACCTAGGGAGTTTGTTAAAGCCAATCAGTGGTTGAGTTGTACAGAAGTTGAGAAGGTGTGTCTAGGATAAGTGACCATGAAAATATTTAGAAGTTCACAGTTTCACAGGTCTCTTCTGGACTACAAAGATGACAAAGTTCTAACACTCAAGTTCCCAACTATCAAACATAGCTTCATTTAAATGTAAATTTCTCCAGATACTGGATTATTTTATCATTTCCATTTATTGCCATGGTCAATTAAATATTGAAGTTTAAGATAATTGGTATCCTCACGTATGTGAGATTGCTGTTTTGTGACATTAATTATGTTTGTCTGAAATTTAAGAAATATCCCTTCCTTCAATTTGTCTTGTTAAGCTTTTCTCTTGTTCTCACCTAGTTCGTAAGAAGAGAGTTGAAGGAGACCGAAGGTAAACGTCCACTAGAAGAGAGGAACTTCCACCACACAGCCATCTAAAAACTGACACAAACTCTTCTCCTTCCCCGTGGGACCATTTTATCAAAGGTTGTTCATTTTCGTTAACCATACAACTAGTAATTTGTTATTCTTTTTGAGTCCTACTTATTTATCTGGAATTCTTACATATGTACAGTTGTTTTACTTTCTCATGGGCACCTCTGGCAACTAGCACAAGTGGACTGATACAGACTTTAGAGACTGACTTTATTAACCACTTTCATGTTGGGTTATCTTGTTTTCTTACATGAACTTTTTTTAATCAATGAAAGGAATTTAGTATATAATACATATCTGTAACTGTGATTATGATAGAGGCCTATCTCTGTTTACATGCATAGCTTTGAGTTAGGCTAAATACATCAGAAGTGTTCTGCTTACCACATGAAAAATTAGTATTGCCAATTCCTCACTGGGTGAGGAAATGTGACCAATTTAGCATAAATTCTCTCTTAATTCCAGAAAAATCACTAAATGCACATGTCCAAATGATTGCAGATCATCTTCATAAAAAAAGACAGCATTATGACACTTTAACACACAATTAGTAAAGAAGTGTAAATTAATTATTAACCCACAAATATAGCTTTAAATCAGACTCACAGGTAGTGAAATGAATTAGCACACCTGCCTTTATTGATCACTCAACATAAATTGAATCTTTAACATGACTTTAAAGGATAACTTCAAAGCGTTGCAGAGTTTTCCAGACATGATAGGAAGTTTTTAAACTTTAGTAAGAGAGAATTTTAAAACAAAAATACATTCCTAAATAAAAAAATAATCATATCTTAATCAATTGTCTGATATACAAGAAAACATTAGTTTGACAGATTTTACAAGGGTTTATTACTTTATCTGTAGTGTAACGAGATTGCTGGGAAAAAATGTGAATATTCAGGTAAATTATACAGATTTTTGTCCACCTGTCATGATCCATCCTGACATTTGCAAACATCAGGAAGAAATATGAATGATGACTTCTCCAGGTATTTGTCATCTCAAAGACAGAGCCTGTGAAAATACAGCTGAGATGACTGCATTGTAGTGTTAATCTTAATGTAACAGTACAACAGTGTAATGTAAACGTAAGGAGACAGGTGACAGGAGTTCTTCGCTTAGTGCAGTTAACCTGAGACTGTGCCTCAAAACACCATTGCACACCTGTGGAGATTCCCCCTCTCTGTCTTCTCCCCTCCCTTCCTTTCATATCTCCCTCCAGCACTCCTTTTCTCCGTAATTCTGAGCCTTATAAAGGTAACACCTAGAACTAAAGAGGTTGCTAATCCTGGCAGAAGGTCAGTTTAATCTAAGGGTTCCTGAGTTACTTTGTAGCAGTAAAAGAAGTCAATGGAAAAACAGTTACTATAATATTTGGCTTATAAAGCACATGGAATCTATTTAGGTGATCCCTTATAAATTGGACATGTACTTGAATTATAAGTACCTAAGTCTCTTTCTCTCAAGTCCTTTAAAACATCTCATTTTCTTGAGAATTTTTTACATTTTTGAGGGCACAATAATTAGAACATTCTGACCTTTTTTGAACTCTCAAAATCCTTTTGTTTATTACTACACCTCCTTATCAATCTAAAAAAAAAAAAGTAGTAACTACTATTTGGTAGCTTTCAGTTAGATTTTTCCTTCCTTCTCAAGCATTTAAATGTAGTATGTGTAGTATGTTGGAGCCAACTTGTACAGGCTTGCTGATTGCTAAATTTTCAATAATTTTACAGACTAGTTGTTCAGCACATCCTTTGTGTGTGTATATGTGTGTGTGTGCTGGGGATCGAACCCAGGACCTCCATGTGCTAGGCAAGCACTCTACCACTGTGCTACATTCCTGGGCCAATAGACCCATTATTAAAAATTAAATGGCATACAAATAAAATGAAATAAATTATGGTGGAGATAAAAATAATAAATACTCAAGAATACCACATTTTACTATTTTCTATGATCTTGAGATTACTTACATCTGTTGGTTATATTATAGGAAAACTGCCTACAGTATGCTACTGCGTGACTCTTCCCAACACCATCACCATTAACTTCTTATAGCTTGAGATTGGCCATGGTAGGAGTAGTTATACCTTGGAAGTTAGTGCTATGTTACAAACTGGGACTTTCCCCCCCCTCTAGATTGCTGGCTGGTAAACAGTCATCAGCACACCACCGGGTGAAATGGATATGAGTTTTATACATACTCTTGGTTACCTTGTTGCCAAAAGGAAAAATATTTCCCTTACCTGTCTTTCCTCCTATCTCTGAATTGGTTACAGATCTCTTTAAGTGTTGAGATCCTAACATGCCTCAAATAAGCCTTTTTCCTTTTCTTACTCTCTTTCTTGCCTTCACCCCTAAGAAATCTTGGACCCTGTGGAATGTTCCCTGCAGCCTCACAGTATGGGCCATGGGCTAAAGCAGTTGTTGACAAATCCCAGCAAAAGCAAGAAAAAAAGTCAGAATTGGATCATGGCTATTTCTTTTGTATAAACAGTTGTTGATAGTATTACAGTAAGCTAATAGGACATTATCAAAACCATAGCACTCTTTTTTAACTTATAAACAGTTGGGTGACATCATAGAGTCTATGAGATAAAATATTTATTACTAATAATAGTGTCTTATTGTTTTCCTGTATTATAAAAATAGCTTAAAGTTGACATTTCCACAAACATTTACATATTGAAGATAACTATTAGAAGATAAACATACATTTTGGGGGAACTTTCAAATCATTTAATTAGCCTAAGACTTCATCTTCCATCTGCCCAAAGTGTGTAAGTGGAAGCTCTTTCATGATAGTGGACACAATTAATACCTTACTATCCGTCACGATGGGACATAGTGTATATAAAATATTTTTATATGTATGTGTTTTGCTAGATATTATGTTGAGATATTTGGTAATACCTGGACAACTGATTGTAGGGAGATTATGTGTCCCAGGCCCACCTCCGTTCCCCTTTTATAGTTGTGTAGTTTCATGTAAGTGTAAAATCACTCCCCTTGACTTGTGGGTTCATATCACTGAGACACCTCTCACAGCATAGGTAGAAGATGACTTTTAGACATAAACTTTTGGAGTTTAGAAATCAGGTGATTAGTCCAGCACTACATCTCCCGGTCTGCCTGAAGTGTACAATGCAAACTCTTTCATCCTCATCAGCATGATTGAATCCCTTGCTTATGTCTGTGGAGGGCATAATATAAATGTGTGTGTGTGTGTGTGTGTGTGTGTGTGTGTATTGTCAGATATCTAATTAGGTATTTGGTTACATCTGGACAACTGGATTGAAGGGAGATGCTATCTCCCCAGCTCCACTTCCCTTGCCCTTTGTAGAGTTGTTGCAGGCCCAGGTTAAGTGTGAAATTACTTCATGGAGCTTGTAGTTTATGTCACCAACCACCACATTTCACAACTGTGTGGAGGATGACTCTTAGGAAATACATATTAGAAGCCTAAAATCATTTCATTTTTCCAACACCAATCTTGCCATCTGCCCAAAACATATAGCATTTCATCCTCGTCAACGTGATCAAGCCCCTTCCTTCCATCTTTGTAGGGCACGTTGTATGTAGATGTTTTGTACATAACCATCACCAAATACTGTATTGAGGTATTTAGTTTCATCTGATTGAAGGGAGACACTATCTCCCAGCCTTGTTTCCCTTCCCCTTCTCAGGGTTGTATACCCTGAGCCTAGAGGGGCATGTACAGCTCACCCATCTTGTGGCACACAGTTCATCTTCCAATAAAAGCCCATCTCCATTTAAAAACTCAGAAATCATCCCAATGCCTGTACTCCTCAAATCAGTTTTCCTGAAGGAAGACGGGCACACCAGACCAATAGAACAGCTACTTCTTTTCCACATGGAAACCCTGGTAGGACACCAGCGTTGGGGAAACCACTGTCCTCTAAATAACTGCCATGAGAACATTTTTGATGCTCAAAACTTGAAACCAGTATGAAGCATCAGCATGCTTTCAAATTAAGATAGTCCTTTGGAATTTATAAAAGCATTTGCAGGTATTTCCTTTTTCATGGATATGATGTGCTCAGCCTTCTCCTAGATACTGTAAAGGAGACAGAGGAAACAAGAATCCTGAACTGAGTGAGCCAGGTGTGGTAGCACACACCTGTAATCCTAGCAATTCGAGAGGCTAAGGCAGAAGGATCACAAGTTTGAGACTAGTCTCGTAACTTATCTCAAAATTATAAATAAATAAAAAGGGCTGGGAATGTAGCTCAGTGGTTGTGTGCTCCTCGATTTAGTGGAACCCAGTACCCAGGGCAGGGGTGGAGGGAAAATTCTGGATTGACATAATTTTATATGTGTTTTATGGTTTGTAGAGTAGACAGGAGTGCTTTTTTGCAAAGTAGAAACCATCTTTAGTTCAAGTCTTAGCATCACCAGAAATAGGGGAGGCAACAGGAAGTAGTGAATTCTGGCTTCTGTGGTATGTTAACCGGGACAGAGAAGAATTGTTTCTGGAGTCAGGTTTTAAGTCATGATCCTGAATCTTCCTTCTGCCTTTCATTTAATGAAGTAATCACTTTTTCCATTTTAATGCACAGATAATTAAGGAAATCTAGTAGAAATCTATACTGCCCCTCATTTCCCTATACTGTTCCTCATTTCAAATATCCCTTCACTCCATCCTTAAAGCTAAAAGAAAAGGCAAAGGGTTTAGATCACTTGGAAGCATCAACTGAGCTCACTGCATGCAAATCACATGATCATCCTTTTGGAACTAGACAGAGAAAAGTACCCAGAATCTCTAAGATATATTCACTGTTTTCTTGCTCCCCAATTCTAGATCTGATTGATTTTACCTTGTGGTTCAGGAGTTTAGAAAAGTGGAGGTGCTGGCTAAGGGGGAAAACAGGATGGGAGTTAAAGATTTAAATCTGTTTAATGGCTACACAGAGCTCTGCCCAGCTTACCTCTTTCCCATCTGCCTGTAATAGCAATAATGGAAAAATCAGTTGGAAGTTTTAAATGTGTAATATGACTCTGGGTACTGTGCTAATAACAGTATGTGTATCAGAGTTTTATGCTTATGACAGTTTGGGATACGTTGCTGACTTGGGAGACAGTAAAGGAGAAGGCTGAAGACTTAGGTAGAAAATATTAATCAGCTAGCCAGATTTTTCTCTGATATCTTCCATGGTAGTTATTCTGAGCACATTGGCTCAGCTGGTTGGTATGGTAAGGACATCATATTAACAGATTTCAATACTGAATCCTAATCCTATCACCAACACTTAGCAGGTATATGATCATGGGCAATTCATTTAATTGCCTGCCAATTATAAACTATATAGGGGGAAGAGCACTGGATTTGGAGTCAAGAAACCTAGTCACTTGGCTCCATGCTTTCTTAGCTGGGAGACTTTGGGCAAGCCACTTTGTTTCTCAAGCCTAAGTCTCATTAGCTATAGAATGGGAATAATATCTTCACTAACTACCTCACAGAATTGTGGTGAGAATATAATCAGATAATTGGATGAAAACACTATAAAACTGGAAAGTGCTATACAGAAGTGGGAGATCATTTTTATTATCAAATCATTAATGTCCACTGCTTCTTGAACTGTTCTATTCTGACCAACATTTTCTACATCTTTTGGAGTAGAGGGAATTGAAGCATGGGTGTGATGGAGGGGACTAGAACTATTTTACTTTGAACACAAGAGGTGAGAAAGATGGTCAGTAGTGGTGGTGGGTGTTATATATGTGATAAGGCAATTTCCTAGGTCATTTTGACACTGCCTTGGAAAATGGTCACAATCCTTGCAGAGGGCCCAAGGCTGAACAAAAGGGGAAGGAAACAATGACTAGGAAGTGAGGGAAGGGCCTTGGGCACTCCTACCTTCCTGTCACTACTGGGAGCAGGGGAGGCTAAAACTTAAAAAGTGTCACTAGTGGCCTAGGAGAGAAAATTGTCCTTAGGGCTCCAAGAATTTTCATGCCTAGCAGTTGTGTAACAGGCACTAACTCTGATCATGAAGGGTAGAAAATGCCACCTGTTATGAGATCAGCTCTATGGGGCAGCAGTTACCCATCACCAGCAACCTCAGCCCTGGTCAGTATTATTTTTGCTAAGAAAGTGATTAAAGCATGGCTTCACAGGGCTTTCATGAGCACTTGGAGGCAGGGACTGTGTTTCATCAATCTTTGTATCTTTAGTACCATCTGGTAAGGTGCCTTGTACACAGTAGGTGCTTAATAAATGTTGCTTGTAATTGTCCTCCAGTCCCACAAGAGTCATGCTACATTTGCAACCATGTGATATATTTTTAAAAAACAACACTGATTTGCATGTCAGCTGTATGTGACTTTGGGCCAGACTCTCCATCTATCTTGTCTTCATTCCATCTGTAAAATGAAGTGAGTGAACTAGATGTTCTCGAGGGTCCCTTCCAGCTCGAAAACTTTACAACCCCATTATTCTAAATCACTTCCTTTGAGTCTGCATGTAGGTGGATAGTGCCTCCACTGCAGCTCAGTTTCTCTCCAGAAGACTTTGTGCAGAGGAACAGATGTGAACATTCTGCAGACAATTATTTGTTCCTCTTCTGCTATTGTCTTCAGAATGGTTCTAGATGTACAGTCTTTTCAGAAAGAATATTTTAGGGCCGGGGATATAGCTTGGTGGTAGACCGCTTGCTTAGCCCATGTAGGTTCAATCCCCAGTATTGCAAAAGAAAAAAAAAAATTTCAAAGGCAAGAAAACCAGAAAGGAAATTTTAAAATAACGTTTTCCTCTTCAGAATCAGTGGGAAAGTAGAGGAGGAAATGCAAAGAAGAAAACACAGTAAACATTGCATGTTTTTTGTAGGCTTTGATTTAAAATTTGTGTTTGTTTTTCTGAGTGCATACTGGGTAACAGAGAGAAGCCAATCAAATATGCACTGTGCATTGAGAGAAACTGGCCCAGGATTTAAACTTCTATGAATAATCTAAATGTGGATAGATAGGAATTGGCCATATGGTCAAATGGATAGAAAATGCATTTGTTTTTTGAGGTAATTTTATTTTATTACCAAATGTTGCCAGTGACAATCTTTAGTTAAGAAATTATTCTGACTTAAAATTCTTATCTCTGTCACTTTCTTTTTAAGGAAAAAAGCTTCTATAACCATGGAAAATAATATTTATATTTTAATTAAGCCTTTGTCTTATTTCATTTTTCCCAGAAAATGAATAAACTGCATTTTTCATTGCATTTAAAAATGTAAAATATTTGCATGCCACTGATCTGTAATATCTTACCCGATCAGATGCCTGTATATTGTGTGACCTTAAGTGTATTGTTATATGTATTGTTTTGAAGAGTACAAAGGAACTAATACTTTTGTAAAGTGTTTAAATTTATATTGGCAACAGCTATTTGGCTAAACAATTATTGAAAAATCCACATGGTTTCATTTTTCTTTTGAAACTTTACGATCAAAGCTAGACAATTGGTTATGTTCATTAAGGAAATAAAAGACTAATTTGCATTTTAAATGTGAAGTTGAATATCATGTGGAAAGAAAATGTGAAATAAAGCAAAATGTATGAAGTGTAAAATACTTTTGTCCTGATAATTAGGACCCTAGTTGGTCCAATAGGTGCAATTTTTGGCCCTTTGGAATTACTAGCCAGACTAATGCTAAGGTAAATGTAAACTGTTTTAATTAACCAACATCTTTCTGCTTTTGAAGATGTAATGTATTCATTTGTGTCTGGAATGATGGTTCTAAATGCAAATGTAAAGAACACTGGGAAATAATAAACTTAATTTTAAAAGTGAAAGTAAAGAGTGGTTTTATCTGGCAGATTTTTAGACAGTGTCTTTTAAAAATAAGTGATTGGCATTGTGCTCTTACATTAGATAAGCACATTTACAAAAAGAACTGTAAAGTGCCTTAATATGAAGAAGATAAGAAGTAGACAGCCACCAGCAGCTAGAAAGAGAAATGGGAATGTGTTATCAAAACAAAAATGCATGTATTTCCAGTTAAAATTTGTTAGAACAAATAGGAACAGGAATACAGAGACGTGTGTGTGTGTGTGTGTGTGTGTGTGTGTGTGTGTGTGTGTTTTGAACCTCTCCTGGGAATTTCTAACACGAACACTAAAATAATAAAGTTATGTAGTAAAGGCTTGACCTGGAAAAACAGGAAACACTGCACTTCCTGCCTCTCTCCTGAACTCTGTCTTGACTTTCAGAAACACTAGGCAATGCTTTACCACTGAGTTACACCCCTATGTTCCCATTTTTTTATCTCTAAATTTCACCATTTAGGCTAATGATGGGGTCTAAGACATAAAGGGACTTATTTCTAATTTCTATATTTGCTGTTTTACACCTTCTCTTGGACAAGGAAGTATATTTCTATATTATAAATGATTCTCCTTTTCTGTCTATGACGTTGTAATGAATAGAGATTACAAGTATGCACTAGGGGGTCACACTTCCCTGGTTCCAATCTCACTTCCATTAGTTATTTTGAATTTATACAAATTACCTAGCCTCAGTCTGTAAAATAGAAACAATTATAGTACTACATCACTGCAGTACTATTGTGAGGAGGATTCATGCGTAAAACACACTGAATGGTGCCTAGCATGTAGGAAGCACTTAGGTATTACTTTCCTAAATTCTAGCCCAAATAAATAAGGACAACCCAATTCTCCATTTTATGCTGACAATGTCAAGAATTTAAATAGGATCAAATGAATCTTATTCATTCTTTTATTTCCACTGCCCGTCCCTTTCTGGCAAATAGGACCTCCCTCATCACTCTGAGAATTAAATACAAACAAGATAGAGCTGACTCAGGAGTTGCTCTTGACCCACCCTTTCATTTAATTCAGCTCCTCCTTACCTCCCTGATGCTTGAACTTGTTTGTGCTTGCTCTGTTCTCTGGGTACCCTCTTTTGGATTTGGCAGTCTGCCCTCTGAAGTAACTCTTTTACTTTCAGATTTGACTCTACTGTAATGGCCGGCTCTCTAATACTTTGATAGCTCAGCCTTTTTCTATGGCTATAAGAAGTGGTGCCCCTCCTTGTCCACCCTGGTTACCAATCCACTGTCCAGTCCTATCAGTCTAGGAACAGGATCAATCAGATGCCCACATCTTTTAGCAAACATCCCAGTATTACAGAGCTGGAGCCTTCTGAGAAACTGAGGAGGTCCAAAGGCACCACCTACATACACTCCAAACCCTAATTCTTGCAACCAAGTCAGAAAGATTTCAGACATGTCAAAATTTCAAAATAGTGTATTAACCACTTTAGTAATTTGTAAGTATATGGGAGTGAAGCAGAGATCTCTAACAGCTAGCATGAGTTTATTGACGGGATAGGAAAAGGGAAAGGACATGCTCTCAAGGAGTGAGTGGGTCTTCTCAGAGAGGAGAGTGACAGCGTGCCTCTCCTGTACTCCAGTTTTATTGGGGATACCAGAGAATCTTCCAGAGAGTCCTGCCTAGGTCCATCTCTTGACTTTTGACTGACAACAGGGTAACATCAGACTTTCAACTAACCACTGCCATGGCAACTCTAGGTCATCTTGGCCCATACTGACCAGTTCTAATTGGATTCTTTTTGGTACCAGCGATTGAACTCAGGGGCACTTCACTACTGAGCCACATCCCCAGCCCTTTTTTATAGTTTATTTAGAGACAGAGTCTCACTGAGTTGCTTCGGGCCTTGCTAAGTTACTGAGGCTGGCCTCTAATTTAAGATCCTCCTCAGCCTCCCAAGCCACTGGGATTATAGGTGTGAGCCACTGTGCCTGGCTTTGGTTGGATTTTTTAAAAATATTTTTTAATTGTCAATAGATCATTATTTTATTTATTTATATGCAGTGCTGAGAATCAACCCAGTGCCTCACACATGTTAGGCAAGTGCTCTACCATTGAGCCACAATCCCAGCCCCTCTAATTGGATTCTTAACCATACATTCTTACAGATTTTATGGTTAGGAGGATCTATCCTTATCTCCCGGAGTTTTAGGATCTGGTCACAAAGGTCCTTTGGGTTCCTCCCACCAACATTATCTGGGGCCTAGATTTCTCCTACTACCAGATAGATTGCTGAGGAATGTGACATATCCCGTCCACTTAGGCCAGGCAGGGCTGCAGGTGAATTGCTTCTTGAAAAAGAAAGCGTATAAAAAAATAAATAAATAAATAAAAGAAAAAGAAAGCGTGTGAGGGTTAGCACAGTGGGCCCATTTTACAGAATTATTCTCTTAACCTTGTGTTCTCACCATTCTCATTTGTCTGTTCCCTAACACCAGGACTTCAGAAGGATCCAGATATATGTGATTAAATGAAACTGAACTAGGCAATGGATGATGTCGGAAAATCACACAGGTATATGACACAAAAGGGGTGGAAGTGGGGAGGGGACTCTACAGATTATAGACTACTAGATTTATTAATTCTGAGGAAAATTTCAAAATAGTGTATTAACCAATTTAGTAATTTGTAAGTGTATGGGAGTGAAGCAGTGATCTCTAACAGCTAACATAAGTTCATTTAAAATAAATGACAGGAAAAATAAGATTACGTACCCCATTTGAATCAAATGTATGATATGTCAAGATCATTGTAATGTTTTGAGCAACTAATAAAAAAATTTTAAAAAAAATAAATGACAGGAAATCTTGAGAGTAAGATAAAAAGAACATAATATTTTTGGATTTCAGCAAAAAACATTTGGCAGTCTCAGCATCCTTGAGGAATAATGGCTGCATGAGAATGTACCTCAGTTGTTAGATGACTAAACAATCTTTTTTTAAAACTCTTTTTAAAAAATATTTTTTAGTTGTAGATGGACACAGTATCTTTATTTTATTTATTTATTTTTTGTATGTGGTGCTGAGGATCAAACCCAGTGCCTCACTCATGCGAGGCAAGTGCTCAACCACTGAGCCACAGCCACAGCCCTTTTTTTTTAAACTCTTTATTGCAAGTAAATGATGATAAATGTGAAAATTTCAACTAGAAGTACTTAGTAGCCACCACTGGACTCTTATCTGGACATGTCTTTATTAGCAGTGTATCAGCTATTTGTATGTGATGCTGACACTGAGAAGAACAAGAAATACTTTGTTAGGTTCCAAAATATTTGGACAAACTAAAGTATAAGAAGTGATAGTGGGACTGGGGATGTGGCTCAAGCGGTAGCGCGCTCGCCTGGCATGCACGGGGTGCTGGGTTCCATCCTCAGCACCACATAAAAATAAAATAAAGATGTTGTGTCCACTGAAAACTAAAAAATAAATATTAAAAAATTCTCTCTCTCTAAAAAAAAGAAGTCATAGTACCTTGATATTATAATACACTCTACTGTCATGTTTATATAAAAAGAACAAATAAAGAAAAGGTCATAAATCCATCTTCTAGTTGTGTGTGTGTGTGTGTTTCTTTTTTCAGTGCTGGGATTGAACGGAGGGCTTCAACCAAGCTAGGCAAACACTCTTCCACTGAGCTATAACCCAGTCCCATCATTTTCTACTTTTAAACCAAACAAATGCCTATAATCCCAGTGACTTGGGAGGCTGAGGCAGGAGGAGCCTTTGAAACCAGCCTCAGCAATTTAGCAAGGCCTTAAGCAATTTAGTGATATGTTGTCTTCAAAATAAGAAATAAAAAGAGCTTGATGGTAAAGCATCCCTGGTTCAATCCACAGTACCAAAAAAGAAAGGACCCTGAAAATACCCTTCTCCCCAAAATACTCCCAAACTATACTATTAATATCCCTGAATTCCATCTGAGTGGATAAAGACTTTGGTATTTTAGCTGACTAAAAACTTAATGTAAATAAGTAGAATGTGTTTGTCTAAAAGCTATCTCTCTTTTTTTTATTTCCAGTGATAGGGATTGAACGCAGGGGTGCCCTACTGCTGAGATACATCCCCAGCCCTTTTTCCATTTTACTATGAGACAGGGTCTCACTAAATTGCTGAGGCTGCTCTTGAACTTGTGATCTACCTCCTCAGCCTCCCAGGTTGCTGGGATTACAGGCATGCACTACCACACCTGGCTGTCTCTATTTTAAGTAACATTAGACAGAGTCTTGGTATTTGGCAAAAAATCTGCTACTAGTATGCACAAGGCCCTGAAATTGATCCCTAACCAACACCAGAAGGAAAAAAGGAATTTCTTCATTAGGTAAGTAAATAGGGAAATAAATTCATCATCAATACAAACATAAAGAGGGGCTATATTAACTAGATAACTCAGGAAGAGTAGCGTATCCTTTTGAACCAATCAATGTTTATAAAAATGTAAGTCATACAAGGAAGGAGAAGAGGTCACATCATAAATTATAATACTGGTCTTTCTGGAAATATCTGGTTTATCTAGTATTTACTATTTTAAAACCTGAACTTAATTCTTATTTCATTCCATTTAGAACATGTTCATGTATTCTCCTTGGCTGAAATTAGGCTCTTTATGGTGACTCCCAGAGAGTCTAACAGCAGGTGGTTCTAGGAAATTATTGTTTCTATACAAAGTGTTAATTTTTTTAGCAATAATATTTTAATGATATTAAAATAAAAATTAATATTTTTGCAAAACAACATTTTAGGGTTTTGTGTGTGTGTGTGTGTGTGTGTGTGTGTGTGAATCCATGGCCTTAGTACATGCAAGTCAAACACTCTACCAACTGAGTTATATACCCAGCCCAACATTTTAGGTTTATTTGTGTCTCCTAGAAGTTCATTCTTTGGTAGTGATATTTGTCATCAGTGTTAGCTTCAGCTGGAGTGCTTTTGATTCTCAGCCCTTTGGCA